TATTAATCATTATGTAAAAGTATATATTAATAGCTGCATAATATTTGTTAATCAATAACAATTTCAAGTTGTTTCCAAGGTTAGTTATGAGTAACCGATGGAATCAAATCAAGTCGGTTAAGAATATGTGGTCAACGGATGATACTGAAGTTAACCACTTGAATTATTGGATTCCAATTCAGTAACTAATCAATGGTATTGTTTTTGCGTTAATGTCCTATTGTGGTGTGCTACTGATGTGCACATACGTAAGTATTATGTATCGTCAAACGAAAATGAAACGTCTGGTGGAAGAAGGTTAAGATCGAAGGAAAGAGAACGAGAACAGAAAATGACTGGTGTGGAGACAAAAGAACAATGAAGTCTGAAACGATTAACTGGTATTTGCAACAGGAACAGTTGAGTTTGAGACAAATGACCAACATTTTGCAAATGAAGTATTTACTGCATGGTTATCAGATTTTACTAAAATGTTCCGTAATTTTATATTCAAATACATCTGGTTGTCTCCACTTGTGTTCTCGTTAACTACACTATAAGTGGGAAATTCTAAACTGGGTCAAACGAGCTGCACATGAATTCCAGAATTGTAATGATTTTCTAAGGAACGCTATCTCTGTATATATAAGGAAATCATTTCCGTATTATTGAATACGTTAACATAATTCAACGTTAAATAGCATAACCTGACAAGATTAATGTAGATAACACAATGTTAAAAGCTATTTCATAAACCAGATCAACACATGTAGGAGACATAGTATTGTCTGACATTTTACTGAAAAACATATTGTTCGCTTATATGTGCTGACCTAATGTTAATCTTGGTTTTCTATCGCATTGGTGCATGAAGTCCCTGACTTCCAACTCGGAATGCAAAAGTTTACACTCCAAAAATAGTTATGGAAGTGCAGTATATAAAACTAGATGCGTTTTCTGGGAAATAAAGATGTTTTTATGGTATACGGACACATCGTAAGCTGAATAAGGTTCTAACGACAAAAGTGCATCATTACACCGGTCACAGATTTAATAACTAAAATATGGTGCCATCGAACTGATTACATGAAAGCTTACTTGTTTTTCACCGTATCGCATTTGGACTGGGTGTGGCTGCATCAAATAGTATTTATAAGTTTTTTCACACCAAAAGTTGGTTCATTCTGCCATCTGGGACAATTGATTATCGACTGTTATTTTGATATCGTGCTGAATAACAACTCCGTTGCACAAATACTAAATCACACGAAAACCCATGACATAATTAATCCAACGATACATAATGTAACCAATAGGTTAAGTACATAGCAGAAATGAGTCACAAAGTAGAAAAAATCTACAACGATAACTACCTGATAGACTTTGTTACAAATAAATCTCAATCCATATTAACCCTAGGATATATCTGTAACACTTGTCGTTTGAGAGGTCCCTTCCAAGCCCTATGAATATATTGTACCATACAAGCTAAATTAGATTCCCAATAAGACAGTGTACAATTTGCTAGTATTGTGGTGTACGCTACTTATATTGACAGATTTGAGCAGCATGTAACAACATTCAAAAGTGGAGTAGGTTGAACTAAAGAGAATAGATTTAGAGGGATCTTGAAGGATGTAAACGACAGTTGAGAGTTGTGAAAATGACATATTTAACATATGATCTTTACAATTTACTGAACCACGGTGTAATTGTGCATTAAAAAACAAATTCGTCCTTACTACCTGAATGTTTGTTCAATACAGTACGTCTTTTTCATGTGCACATATTTCAACAACTTAAATTCTTTTCACAAAATACAGTCGCCTTAAGCTTAGCAGATATTTCACAAATCGAGGCTAAGTTACGACAGACTATGAAAGTTAAATTTGACACTAAATTATAGGATACATAGAGAACGGTAAATAGGATAAACAGAAACAATACTTGAAAGGAATTACAAACAACAGGGGTCGAAAACACTAATTTCATTACAAAATAGCAAGGGAGGAGAGGTGCTAATGTTGTCAATAACTAGATGTCTACCAATCTACATAAATTTTCAAGTACAGTCTGATGCAGTATTATAAAGCACGAGACATTGGATTACTGCTCAATACAATTCTTCCCAAGCAAAAATTTAGTTCGCTCCATTATTTATGTTTAGAAAGATGTTTTCCACTGATTATGTATTTTTTCGATGAAATTTGGTGATCTTTGTTTCATATTCATCATATGAATTTATCTCCCGAAATTTTCCACTTTCCCATACGATAACTAACAAAGAAGTGTTTCATTTTCTAAACTGATCCGTTCGTAGTGGTTCGCCTCTCTCCACATCGCAGATTTGTGATACAAAAAGCCAAAAAAGAACAATGAGGAAATTATTCCCCACGTCAATATAAAAGTATTTCGAAATTTTTATCGATATGGCCTTTTTAGCTTTTCAAACTGGTGATCGGAGTATCTAGCAGATTCTAATTCGGGTCATTGTTTCCATTTTCAATGTACTTCTATTTCTACATTATTGTTACAGCTGGACTGTTTGGAAAGCACTACTTTAATAGGGCTGGCTTCGAGAATCATCATTGACGGTAATGAAAAATTAACAAATTTAGTCCAGCTTTTTATCTGTTAGCCTAACAACTTTTCGTAGTGTATCTGGATAAAATGAACGACAAATATTAGGTCTATAGCGGGGCTTGAATAGTATGGAAATCTGAGTTACACCTCATGAGTTTTGTTTGATTATTGAAACAAATTAATTAAAGTATATGGAAAGGTAACAATGACTAACGTAAAACACGATACAATAGGGGTACGACGGAACTATGGCTCAGAAAACAACAAAAAGTATGTATACTTTGACCATATTATTTTCATTATTGACTCAAAACGTCGGGATGTCATAGACGAACTTTTAATGAACTATATGCTAACGTGTACGTGTACACTGCGAAAAGCCGAATATAATAAGTTGTCAGTATATAGTACTTACTTACTTACTTACGCCTGTTACTCCTCGTGAAGGAGAATAGGCCGCTCACCAGCATTCTCCATCCAACCCTGTCCTGGGCAATCCTTTCAGGCTCCTTCCAGTTCCTATTCCTCCTTTTCATATCTGCTTCTATTATCCGACCTAATGTGTTCTTTGGCCTTCCTCTTTTCCGCCTTCCTGCAGGATTCCAAGTTAGGGCTTGCCTCGTGATGAATTTTAATGATTTGCGTAATGTATGTCCTGTCCATTTCCATCGTCTTTTCCTAATTTCTTCTTCAGCTGGAAGCCGGTTTGTTCTCTCCCAGAGAAGGCTGTTGCTGATGGTATCCGGCCAATGGATGTTGAGTATCTTGCGTAGGCAGCTATTTGTAAATACTTTTACCTTATTGATAGTGGTTGTTGTAGTTCTCCAAGTTTCAGCTCCGTAAAGTAGAACTGTCTTGACATTCGTATTGAAGATTCTCACTTTGATATTGGTTGAAAGTTGTTTTGAGTTCCATATATTGTTCAATTGTAGGAATGCGGCCTTTGCTTTGCCAATCCTCGCCTTTACGTCTGCATCTGAACCTACTTGTTTATCAATGATGCTTCCCAGGTATGTGAAGGATCCCACATCTTCCAGAGTTTCTCCATCAAGAGTGATTGGATTGCTGTTCTCCGTGTTTTATTCGAGGACCTTGGTTTTCCTCTTGTGTATATTGAGGCCTACTGATGCAGAGACTGCTGCTACACTGGCTGTCTTTATCTGCATTTGTTCATGTGTATGAGATAAGAGGACTAGGTCATCTGCGAAGTCTGAATTGTCTAATTGATTCTGAGCTGTCCATTGTATGCCGTGTTTTCCTTCAGATGTCGAGGTCTTCATAATCCAGTCGACCACCAGAAGAAAGAGGAAGGAGGAGAGTGAACAGCCTTGTCTGACTCCGGTCCTTACTTGGAATGCATCTGTCAGCTGTCCTACATGCACGACCTTGCACTGCAGTATATAGTAACTTATGTCATTTTTGTCTGGTTTTGATTGCTGTAGGATTTTTTGACCAACTTGTAATGAGAACAGTAGACTAAATGGCTCAGTGGTGCTGTTAATAAAGTCGAGTGAGAGAAAAAACTCGAAGCTATGTTTCTTACTGGTTGGGATTATTCAGTAAGGTATATCTGCAAACTTAAGAGAACTAAGCTTCTAATGAAATTAAAGTCTAATATATGGAGTAGCGGTACTGCAACTTGATAGACGGAAATTTAGCAGTAATAAATTATGTTGGTTACTACCCAGTAACGAAGGTGTGTAGTTATCTTAAATTATATTCTTTTGTTTAAAAATAAAATAGCTAAAATGAGAATGGGAAGGTTATAAACTGCTATCTGCATAAACAAGTACAATTTTTCACATCATTGTTTATCAAATAAATACCATACAAATACTTCGGAATTATCACAAGAAAAGCGTAAGACCACACCATGTAACTAATGTTCAATACATAAGTGGTCATTTTTCAAGTGATTGTAAATATGCATACTTTTCATAATAACACTCATTCGTAAACATGTGATTTGTTGGGTTGGTCGGCTATATTCTACTTATAAAAATAGGGTCGCAAATAAGCAAAATGATTTACAGGAACAGTTCCGTACTAAGATTAATTATCGACTACAAGCGTACCTATAATTGTTTACGATACCGTATCATATATCTAGTAATTACAACAAAATAACACAGTTCGATACAATGTTGAACTAACAGATCAACTGAACAATATACAGTAAGGTAAATGAAAATTGTTACTTCGTAATCTAAATTATTGTAATTTTTGATCATTTGTAATAATACAGACCAGATACTTTAAAGGAGAGAGAATTATTATTAAAGTAACCACAAACAATTCAGTAATATTCAATTTCCCTGAGAAGACAACAGACGCGAAATTAAAGTAAATGATCAGGAAACAAGAGCCATTTGTTCTTTTAAGTAATAGAAATTAAAACAGAAGAGGCAAAATTTGCATCAAGGAACGTGCACAGGACACTAAACAAAACTTCTTGATTCGCTAAGAGATAAATCAAAGCACTCTTGTGCTTTATCGGCCAGCACACAACCAATAGCCAAAGAGGCTGTTGCGGCTGGCGATGGTGCATTACGTACATGCATAATTCTTTTACCAATCTTGCCATCGCCAAAATGAATTACAAAGTCATCCACTAACGTCCCATCTGAGTCAATCGCTTGGGCTCTTATTCCAGATGGGCCTCTGGAGACATCTTTAACACTTAAGCTAGGTACATACATTTTAAGCCGTTTGACCTGGCGATTAATAAATAAACCATCAATTATTTCATTCACACCAAAACGTAAATAACGGAAAATGAGTTTCCGAAGTCCAGTGTTAGATGCGAGATCAAAGCAGTCTTTGAAGTTAACATCGAAACGTCCATAACCTTCCCGATTTAATGATAGGATAGCATTTGGCCCAAGCAAAACGGATCCATCCAAACGTGGAGTGAAGTGGACACCCAAGAACGGGAAACGGGGATCAGGAACAGGATATACATTTCCATTTATTAAAGGGGAATTTTCAGATTTCAAAACTAAATAATCACCTCGAAACGGTATGATGACAGGATTTGGAGAACACCCAGACATCTTAGCAACACGGTCAGACTGCAATCCTGTACAAGTAATCACATACTTGCATGTGATTTGTGAAATATGAGCTGAACTGTTTGATCCACTATTAACGTTCTTGATCAAAACAGGGTAATCCACATTTCACTCGTTTCTGAGATTTCGCCTACCTTAAAGGACTTATAAATAATCCCACCAGACGCAACGAAATTTTTGGCATATGATAAAGTTACTGTTCTCCAATCAACTATACCTGTTTCAGGAGAATGAATTGCTTTTAAACCAACACAGTTAGGTTCGATTTCTCTTATCTTATCACCTGAAATGTAAGAAACATTGGGCACACCGTTTTGCTGGGCAAAACTGTACAGCTTTTCTAGACGCGGAAGCTCAAGTTCATCAACTGCAACGATTAATTTCCCACATTTTTTGTAAGGCACATTGTTTGCTTCAAAATATTCATACGACTTCTTCAAACCTTCAACGCATAGCTTAGCTTTTAGAGAGCCAGGAGTGTAGTAAATACCTGCATGAATAACACCACTGTTATGGCCAGATTGATGCATCGCCAATTCTTCTTCTTTTTCCAGAAGGGCAAACCGAAATTTTGGAAACCGAAGTGTTAATTCACGAGCCGTTGCTAAACCCACAATCCCACCTCCAACAATGGCTATGTCGAAAGTATGTGCTTTGGTAGAGCTCCGAAAGGCTTGGGACATCAAAACAGGATTTAAACTTTTAAGTTTGGTGAACCACATGTTAACTTGGTAAAAAGGAAGTTTTAACGTTCAGCCTTTGGTAGATTTGCGTCTAACCAGAAAGTACGTCGTATGCTAAGGAATTATGGAGAGCAATATATCCAAGAGAATCTGGAACAGAAAACAATGGGAGAAGCCACCCGAAAACTCAGTAAATACATAGAATACACTTGCGTTTAATAATAGTTGTCAACAATTACTAATAGCGAAACATCTGACAAAGACACTCTGTCAGTCGAAACTAGTAGATTGAATAAGGTTTATAGTAAAAATTTAATTTAGGGACGAGCTCAAGATAACCACAGCGAGTTCTCAACGTTTTTATTCAATTAGAAAACGGCTTTTATAAATGAATAATACATGGGAAAGTAAGCAACAATATTGCAGACTGTAAGCCGAAGTCATGTAATCAATAAACCAGTTGACGCCTTTATGTCACTTTTTGAAAATGAAGAAAACAACGACATACCCGTCCTAATGGATATAGATTGTCTATCTCCAACCCCTATACTGATTCGAACAGATTTATAATTGTACCTATACTATTCCTAGTTAGGGTTGGGACTTTTATTCACTGACCGACACCAACTACAATATAAGTTGCTTTCTAGACATATGGGTGGATGGATTTCGCATAAAAATATGAAGGCGCCAGAAGCAAAATATATGAACTAACTAATCAGATCCCTGTGTAAAATTTATTCTTGAATCATAGTTGAATTTCGTCATGAAAACCCTAAAGTCCATACATAACTTTTCATTGTCACGTTAAATTTGTGTCAGTTACGAAAGTACTACATTTTTATCGTGAAATATTGGCAATTCAGTAGTAAGCTGAACAACGGACTGGTTAGTAAGTACTAGCACATCAACTGAAGAAGCATGGCCATATTTAAAGGTACCCTCAGCTTAGTTACGCCCATTTTGTACCATGGTTAGTACCACGTAGACTAAATAACTATTCATTATGGATAACTAAACAGGTCAAGAAAGTTCCTAGAATTTGGAAAAGGCATAGAAGTATGTTTACTTATGCAGGCTCTGAACAATACAGATCCATTTATTATGCGACTACGAGGTGCAGGAAGGATTTGAATGTGACCAACTTGGTCTCGTGTGCTGAGACTACGAACCCTTGCAAAGCGCCGATAAAGCTAGACATTTATACGAGAAAAATTTTTTAGGGTTTGTGAAAAGTCCGGAAATGTCGTTCTTATACACAAACGGGCGACCTCACAGAAGTGATGAAACCCTACTGCTTGTGGTTCGAAAAATCCGTTGAAATTGACAAGAAATGATATTACAAAAGCTGAACTTTATCAGAATATTTTAGTATTTTTCCTACCGAAAATGGTGAAAGACCAATAATAAGTTATAATGGAGGCCTATCGATGGAGACTGTGGTTATTGAGTAAGGAACTATTTTGCGATTAATTTGACATCTCAAACCAGATAATCCCAGCAGTCCTGACGACATTCATCATAGGATAATGAAAGCCCTGAAATATGTAATTGCAGAACCTCTGGCGATACTGTTTAATACGTTTTTGCAGCATCACGAACTTTCAGCAGACCGGAAGAACGTAATAATTAGTCCCGTTCATAAAGCGAGAAGAGACTTGGTAACTATCGACCCGTTAGTCTATCCAGTGTGGCTGTCAAACTAATGAAAGAGATTATCCGGATGACTATTTTAGATTATGTAGAAGGGAAAAATCTATGTAGGGAATATCATGGTTTGAAGAATGACCTATCTTGTTTGACAAATCTGCTCATTGCAAGAGAAATATTCCAGTATACGCGACTGTCATAGATCTAAGTAAAGCCTTTGGCAAGGTCTCTCACCAGGGCTTTGATATCTATTAAGAATTCATAAACGGGATAAGTGACAGGAGACAACGGGTACGGTTAAACGAGGCTCCAATAACGTGGGAATCTGTAAAATGGTAAAATTCCCGGTCCCTTTCTTTTTTTACTTCATGATAATGACTTGCCAACTACTGCAAAGTTATCTGTACTACAAATCGCAGACATCAGGATTTGTAGACCAATATGCAGTATGTCAGACTAATCTTACAGAATGACCTCAATCCACTTGTTGAGTGGATAGATGAGTGATCATTAGAAGTCAGCTTTAACAAAAGTGATGATACAAATAAATAATTATGACGATTCATATCACTACACAATAAATGAAAGTTACCTAAAGATCTAGGGGTTATAACGAGCAATGACCTTAAGATTCCGAGTAACTGGGACGCCACCGTAGTCAAATGTTTCAGGGTCTTACGTGCTATCATTATTACTTGAACGCAATGTTTGGGAGACCATCCCCCACTTTGAGGACCGCCTTTGGAATACGAGGTTCAAGAAGCACGTGTTTGATCCAAGTATGAGGTGAATATGTTGGAATAAGTCCAACGGCTAGGGGTCAAAATGATAGAAGTTTTCTTTGACTTATCTTACGAAGTCAGACTGAGAAGCCTCAACCTACGCTCATTATCTTACCGCAGTTTACGTGATCTCATACTGGCTTACCGTATACTAATCGATGATCTTGGCATTAATTAGTTATCTTCCCTTCCACCTAGTATTGATCATCTGAGAATAAATTTCAAAGATTTAGACAGAAGCATCTACGTCTGGAGTCCCGTTTCTCGCACCGAGCAGTGAATTGCAGGAATTCCCTACCAGAACACATAATATGAGCACCTGTCCGTACATTTAAAGAGACTGGATCTTCACAGTACAACAAATTGCAAGGACTCAAGAAGTTTGACTGAACTATTCTTAGTAAGGAAGGCCGTGAATTATTTCACAGACACATATGTTCAGGGAAACAATTGTTAGTTATTTCCATTGCTAACTAATCAAATAGTTGCTTAAGCTCCCATCACTTCAATCTGGTCTAATGTGTCTGTAGACTAACCCTATTGATATGACCTGACAATTGAAGGACATGATCCTATCATATTAGCGTGACCTAAAATTTCTATTCATTTCGATAAGACACATAATACTAGTTGGTATGTTTGTGCGTTCCACTTAGTAATTATAATCCCTTTATTTATTGTACTAATCAAATTGTTGTTTTAACGTTTAGGAACGGTTGAAGTTTAGAGCCAAGTTGTCCTTGTCCTCACTATAGCTTTCACATACTTTGGGGTGGCCGTTATCGTGTTAACAGTTCTTGTGTAACATCGGTATGACAAATTAAATCCTATAACAATGTTGTTTTCTCGTGACCACAAAACAGGAGGGAGGAATGCGGGAAGTGTGACTGAATTATTAAAATAGGGAGAGTGAACAGACAACTGAGTAAAGAAATATAATGAATTTTTATTGAATGAAAGCAGTCGACAGCTATTAAAAGAAACGAGTGTGAGATTCAGAGAATCTGACATTTGGAATTCGAAATTAGGACTACAAACAATGTTTAGCATATATTCACTTGGAAACCGTAGCGTGAGATTTCAAATGCGTTACACATTATTGTTTGAATATCTCACATTTCGTACTTTGGTATTCTAAACCGCAATGCATACTCTTATCAGGTTTACATTGCGCTCGAGTCACACGTGAGTAATCGTCAATGAGCAACGTTGAGAGTTCCTATACAAGTACTTCCAGGTTATCAATGATGATCTACCTGAGATCAACTCGAGAATTCAAATAATACAATTATTTCCAGTTATCGATCGCTTTGTAGATCAACGAAAATGCTGATCTGTGTGGAACATCGGTTGTTGTGACCTTCAAGCTTACATCGCAGTTACGCTTGTAGTGTCAGTTATTATGCCAAGCCCATATACCTTATTTTAGCTTTCGGACATCCCATTCTATTCATTTTACTTGAGCCATATTTTGACCTTGTCATTTATTCGCTTGTCAGTCTTGACTGTTTTTATATGAGCGTATATGTGTGTGCCCGTCTTATCCTATTGATCACATGTCTGTAGCTTAATTTTGTCTGACTATAAATATTGAGTAACGCTCGACTAAAATGGAGTTGGCTTCCCAGCCATCCTCCCTGTGCGTCGTTTTGCTTGGCTCTGTTTCATTCACTTCATATACAAATATACGTATTCACAAATCAATTCTCGTTATTCGACTTATTTAATTCCGTTATTGGGTAACGCGATTAAGTCGACGATTATATACGAGAATAGGTGACAGCAAACATTTATACAATCTTGGAGTCAGATAAAACGGGCCACTTCATTGGTAAGCCCGCCGACGACGAACGCAACGCAGCAAGCTACGTCGATGAAGGCACTTCTGCACTCTATACGTTCGACGAACATATTCAACGAAGCCAGCGCAATCTCCAATCCGACGCAATCAGCAGAGCTTTTGCATCATGGTATGGACATGCTCAAGTCGTATTATCTTATCGATATTTTGTACTCATGTCAACCATTCTCATTGATCCCTTCGTCGGTTTGTTTAATTACGATTCAAATTATCATTATATGCTTATTATTACATTATTGCCAATATCATGACCGAATATGGAATTATTAATCTTGTTCGTGCTGTCATTAAATCATGACATTTTCGCAATCATATTACTCACCGAACAATTATCATTTATGAAAATTCCACTCCACTTTGTGAGAACTAATTGGGATATTTTTACTATCCAAAAACGTGAAATTTTCCTGCTTTAAGTGAGTTCGTTCCAATTTTTCATGTCATTTTGATCTACTATTACATTCATTCACTTGGTCGAGGTCAGCAATTTATGTTGTCGTAACATACGTTTTTCACTTCAAAATCGTCTCTTATTATGTCTGTGGATGCTTCTGACTAGCTGATTAGTAACCATTACGCTCATTTTATTTATTCTCCCACGTGCATAACTACATCCTGCATCACTTATCACTGCAAAACGCTATTCGAGTACTGCAACTACTGTTTTATTCTATACCCATCGCTCGGTATATCAGAACAGAGTTTAGAGCTAGTCTCTCAAAGATACACTCTTGTTCGTCACATCC